TCTCTGGTTCTGATCCGTGCTGCCTGTATTTATTGATCAGTAACACAGCTGGGTCTCTGGTAGCTTCTTGTTTAAACTGAGACTTGCAGAATGTTTTATTTCAGTTTATTTTAATTGAACTTTATGCTTCATGAAGTGGTTTTGATGAAATGTCAGGATTCTGGTATTTGGGCAGTTTTTAGGATAAATGATTCCTATAAATCCCAGATGTTTTTCCCACATGGCCGCTGGTTGCAGCTCTGTGTCTAATAGCTTCACAGGGCAGGTTTTTAGATTTTTACAGAATCTGGTTCAAGCAAAAAGTTCATTTAGATTTTTTTTGAAGACACGGGAGAGAACAACGTCACTGTAATGACTCGTTTTGATTTTAACTCAGCTTTGGGTTGTTTTCATGATGAAATGTTGCGTTTAAGGACCGTCTGAAAGTAGAAAATCTGATTATTCTTTCAGTTTTCACTGTTTGTGGCTGATTCTGGCTCATTCTGCTGAGCGTGACTGACGCCCAGAGGCAGGTTGTTGGGTTCAGGACAGACAGGATGGAGGTCCTTCAGTCTGTCGTTAGAGGAAGCAAACCTGCTGTTTGTGGCACCTGTTGGTCACCTGGTGGAACAGTGATGGTCCTCAGGTACGCAGGTGGTCCGTGTGGCTGCAGAACGTCCTGCTGCTTGCTCCAGACCGGATCAGATGAACCGTGGCAGGTGTTGTGAAATGACTTCATCTGTAGACAGGTTAGGTCAGATGCTCCTCACAGCTCCATGTGCTTCACAGAACCTGAAGGAGAAGTTCACACTTTGTTTTCCTACAACTCTCTGAGCTCCAGAACCTGCCGATGACTTTCAAAGGCCAGTTTTCCTCAAATGATCACTAAAAAGACGAGACACTGGGATGTTTTATCACCATCACTTCACACATGTCTCGTTCAGGACTCAGCCACTGATGAGGCGTCTCCTGTAGAGTGTTTGCTCGTCAGCGGTTCTGCAGGACGGACCCGGCTGTGACCAACACGTTAGCATCTGTAGCAGCTGATGTGCTGCAGGGACTTGATTAACTCTCCGAGCCGGCTGCTGATCTCATGAAGCCGTAAGTGATGAGTAACAACGGCTTCACAGAGAATCGGATCGGTTCTGACCTCAGCGCCGCCACAGAACCCTGCATTCATCAGCCACGAGCTGTAGGAACTGACAGAACCGCCAGCTCTCAGATGATCTCCTCATGGGTGACTTTGGCTTTAGTTCAGACAAATATCCACGTTTAAAACCGTGATGTTTAATCCAGATCATGTTGTTCTACATGTCCAGCTCATAAAAACAAGAATAAATAGTTGGTTCTGGTCAGATTCTGTAAAAAGAAATCCTTCTGTTTGTGTGATGAAAGCGTCTGGAGGCTAAAACTCTGGGACTTTTTCCTCCGTTTCCTTCTGAGAACTCATGTTTTAATAAAATCCCTCTAATTTAAATAATTATCATAAATCAGCCGTTTGCTCTGAACAGTGAAGATCTCCTGATTCTGGACTTCTTTGTGTGACTGAGACCAGCAGCAGGAAGCTCCTCAGATTAAAGCGGGTTTAATCCTGGACCAGGGACTTGAACTTTCACCGTCTCAGCGTCCAGAGTTCCTCTCAGCTGTGTCTCGTGGACACCAAGGAGCTCACGGTTGGTTTGGATGTTTGCAGAACTTCTTCTCAGTTTGTTCCCCTGATCCGATCAGTGATCCGATCGGCCGCCAGTGTTTCTGAACGCCTTCGTTTAGGTTGATTTCAGGAGTTTTCTCAGCTTGAAGTGTGAAACGTGCTGAAGGTGATGAGCTTTGACAGTTTGCAGTGAGAGGTTTTGCGGCTGAACCGGACCTCGTGGTGTTTCTGAGGCTCAGTGTGACTGTAAACCTGAGACACATGAAACTGGACGAACAAAACGAGTCCGGAGCTGCAGGTGAACACCTCAGCTGTCCTCCTTCAGGTTCTGGTCGGTGCCGCTGAGCGTTTTCGTGCTCAACGAGTCGATGTACGGCCGCAGATAAAGTTCCTGCATCAGGAAACTCTGCAGTCCGTCTTTGTGGCCCAAAGGAAGAAACCAGCTTTTTATCGCCGTCCGTCTGCAGGCAGCCGTGGAGCTACTTCCTGCCGCCGGCTTAACCCTGCGAGCTCCAGCAGGCGACTCAGAAACGTGTCCGTCAGCAGGACGCAGGTAGAGCGACGGAAACAGGAGCACGAGAAAGTTCTCCTGCATTAGTTATCTGACCAACATCTGGAGTCTCCTCTCTGCTGCTGCTGTTCATCTGAAAGCTCTCTGAGTGTTTGTCATGTGACTGCTGCTGGTTCAGCTGATTCAGTCCTGAAGTGCAGAATCATTAGATCACTACAGAACCAAGTTCAAACAAACGGTTCATTTTCTTTTCTTTTTTTTAAATGACGTGTAGAATGAAGTAGTTTTTGGTGAAATATCCAGATTTTGGTTGTTTTTCTGTCTGAAAGCT